TAAGCTGGACAGAAGAGAGGGCACTGGATTTTTTCTTCTATGTGGCAGCTTTCCAGAGGAACTCATCGAAAAGCACGGAAGCGTGTGAAAAATTATGCGGCATCAGAGATTTTGAAATTCTGAAACTCTCAAGCTACTGTGAACTCAGAGATTCCCAGTTTCTTGACGTTCTGAAGTTCTGACTATACTCTATCGGTCGGAGTGGTCTTCCCAAACTGAATAGAATCTGATACTGAATTATCTAAAAATTTCAGAAAAAAACTGGAAATCTGGCCAAAATCTTATCAACAATTTTATTTTAAAAATGCAAGCACATAAAATCCTCATCCAATCAGATTCCAGCCGAGGACGAACGAGATCTCTGGCGATTCTTCTGACCTCCCGACATCTTGACACCTCTTTCCCCATACAGAGCATCCTATCCATCTTCTATCCTAGTCACAAACTCATGAACGTTTGCCATCTGCTCAATTGATGTTCCATCTAGCGATTTTATTCTCGAAGACGGTTGGTAGTACTGTTGAAGCAGATTTGCAAGTGTAGGTTTTCAATTTCCACTGTGATCAACCAGGCAACGGTTTTTTCCTGGCTTCAGAGACAAACTGATTTCGTTGAAGACATTCGCAGATGGATATATTGTTGAACGTCTGAAATGAAAATTCGTTGAAAAAATGAACTTTTTCACAATTAGAGGAATATTAATCTAAAGGTAGATCCTAATTTTTAGATTTTCGAGATTCTAGAATTTCAGAATTGGAAAACTTTCAAAATTTCCCATGTTCAAATTTTGAAGTTTCAGAAATTCGTTATCACAGAATTTCAAAAACTCTGAATCTTCAAAATTTCGAAATATCAGAAAGTCAGAAATTCTGAATACATACAAAATTTCAAAATTTGAAACTTTCAGAATTTAAGAATTCCATTAATTTCGAATCACTTTTTCGAAATAATGGTTTTTCTATAACAATAACCTCACTTTTTTGAAATTTCAGAAATAATCAGTAAAAATCAATAGAATTGAGGCCAAAAAATCAGGAAGTGGCCATAGTTGTGTAGAAAAATGAATGATTGACGCTTCGTAGGAGAGAGGTCACTGTGAAGCTATAGATAAAAGACGCAGGTATTTGATCACTCAAAAAAGTAAGATAGAACGCTGTGAGTGAAGACAGAGCTACGTTTGTTTTATTCATGGTCAGCTATATGATTTTTGCATTTTCTTGGTGCTACAGAGACGCAGAATAAAAATTTTTTGTTTTGAATTCCTCGAAAAATGGTTTGAAATTGTTCGAATCATCTATTTTTTATGTTGTTTTTTCAGATCTGATCCGGCACATACTTCAATTGATAATAATTTATAAAAGCTGAATAACATGTTATTTTCTGAACGAATCATTGTTCTCAATCCAAATCCATACTTTTTATCGTTTCTTCACAAGATTCTATCGTGAACATTAAAGTTTCCGGATAAGCGATGGGATATCTCACTGTGATCGGTATTAGATGTACTGATATTGTACGGAACAAATAAAAAAAAAGGAATATGGCATGATTATAGCGCACGGCCTACGAAATACAAACATATTGAATACAAATCTACTAAATACAAGCCTACTAAATACAATCAACCAGATTGAATATTGTATCCAGGATTCAAAAAACTTACAATTCTTCCTACATTTTCATTTTTCCAGTTCTGTTTTAAGAAAACAGTCAATGGCGCAAGTTGAAAACCTTTGGTCAAAAGTTAGAGGCAATCATCAAACTTTCAGAGAACCAAAATCTCTGAAAATTTTCATCAGGTATTAAATCAAACATTGTTCTATTCTGCTTCGATGTTTCTGATCTATGTAGAGATATGAACTTATCTACCAAGTGTTCCTCATATTCATCCAAATTTCGGTGTTTGCCAAATCAATTTTTGAGTCTGATTATCATGAAGAAACACCCTGAAAGCCTTTATTCTTGAGTTCAAAAACAATTTTTCATTCAAAGTAAATCTGAAAAATTGTTATAAATCCTCATTATTGAATCAAAAATATAGGGAAATGCTGTGTGAAAAATGGGACATTCACCACCAGAAAAAAACAGAAGTGTTGTGAGATCAACAGAACCTTTGTGCTAGGTACCATGTGAAAGACTTTGGGAGATCTGAATTGCCCAAATTTTTATTTCTTCTCATAACAATTTTTTCGCTCTGAACTTTTGAGAAAAATAGAGGCGTGGAAATCAGCATATTGTTGTATCTGTGAAATCATAATTTTTATGGATGTTGTTGGTTACTTGATGCATTTCGATTCGATTATTAAGTTTGTTTGCTTGTCATTTCATTAAATTTTATTAATTTCGTATTCTTCATCAAGTAGAGCATTTTTTCTCCTCGATTTCTGGAGAATTTCCTGGTTCGTCTAGTCAACGTTTTTGGGCTATTGCTCATCTGATTCCTTTTCCTAGATTTTGTTTCGAACGATCTTTACAATAACCCAAGGGTCGAAATAACAAAATTAAAACGTTTTGGCTGTCTGTTGTGACGAAATTAAAGAAAAACTGAAAACAAATTTTTGATTAAAAATAGAACATGATCACCAAAGTTTCCAGATAAAAAAAATGGATATCTCGCTCTAATCCGAATAAATCTAACTGATGTCAGACGCCCTTATTAGTCGGATTAATCTTATTCTTGTGTTCAACCCACATTCTCTTTGATCCGAATGTTTGGTGCAAGATCAGTAAAAATTCGTTTCGCAAAATTTGCAGCTGTTGAGAAAGTTCAACTAGATTATCAAGTCCGGCAGTGCTGAAAACCGGAAACTCTAAAAATCCATTCTAATATCCGGAATAGCAGAGTGATCCGCAATAAATTTCCGGAGATTGACATTCAACTGAACGACTCTGCCGGAAATATAGGTTCAGAACTTTTGTTCTCCTCAAACTTCATGTTTTTTTGAAAAATAAACCGAAACGATTTTCTGGCTTCCGTTAATTCAGGTCTGTCAGATGTCAAGCACACAGGGCGATGCTCAGCCACTCGGGTTTTATTGCCAATTAAGAAAATATTCATGGAAGAAATGAAATAGGGCTTTAAAGAAAAAAAACAATCTCACAGAAAATTGAAAAAGTCCTGGGAAAATACAGTGCGGTCAATATCCTTAGGACCCCCCTCGACTTTGGCGGTTCCAGGAGAACGAGGAAAGATATCAAAAATTTGTAAACGTCATTCGATTCAAAATAAAAAGAAACCCTAAATGGACGAACTTTCATGATTTTACCACTTTCCGTATAAGAGTACCATCAAAAAGACCTATTTCTGGCCTGGAAATTTCGAAATCTTGTTCACTTTTTGTTGAATCTTTGCTTTTAAACATCCAGTATTCTGTTTCTTGGTAGATCTTCATAAATATCTCAAAGAACTTTCATAATTTGTCAACTTTCCAAATTTTAACTTTTTTTCAATTTTTCTTAATTTTAGAGAAGTAACCCAATATCTGGAACAACACAGTGTCTGTACACAATCAAGGACCTGTCTGCGCTCATAGTACCTATATTAGCTTCTCAACAACATATTCGGTATGTTCTATGACTGTTATCTTCGAATAGTTCAAATTTTTTGACAAATTGGGTCACTTTTACAAAAATACCCAAATCTTAGGAAAAATTAGAAAAAAATGAAAATTTGGAAAGCGGACAAATTATGAAAATTCTTCGAGATACTTATGACGATGTACCAAAAAAGGACGAAACTAACAGTTATTTTCAGATTGGCAGTGAAAATTCTACAAAAATGATCAAAATTTCGAAAATTCCAGGGGGTTCATAGATATTGACCGGTCAGAAATAGGTCTTTTTGATGGTACTCTTATACGGAAAGTGGTAAATTATGAAAGTTTGTCTCCAAGGATTTCTTTTTATTTTGTATCGAATGGCGTTTATAGATTTTTGATATTTCTCCTCCTTCCCCTGGAACCGCCAAAATCGAAGGGGTCTTAAAGATATTGAGCGCACTGTAGTTCAAAATTTTAATTTAGCGTTATTATTTCTAAGGTGCCTCGTTTGAAAAAAACGTGACAAACTCGAAGACAAATGTTGAATAAAAAGAAATCCCATTTTTATAAACACCCGCTTGACAAAAGAGATTATTGTTGCAGAAATTTTTTGATTTTTAGAAAACTTCCCATCATCCGAGCTTTAGCTCAAAATTTAGTTCTCGTGAAAAAATATTTTATTAATTTAACAATTTAATACTGTATACTTCATACAATTGCAACAACCAACAATGCGTTCAAAAAACTAAAAGCTATTTGACAAACTCGTTGACATTTTCCAGTAGTGTACAGTCTTCATGAAACGTTCGAAATCAGTGTGTGCTGAAAGAAATGCATTGTGGTCTATATATTCACCGACGAGCCATTTCCATTTTCTTTTCCATCTCAAAACATTCATCTCGATAATGTAAATGCTCCCTTGGGATAAAATCTCTCAAATCTCAATGTTTCCTTGATCTTCCTGCCCTTTCTCAGCTTATGCCTGGATAATGAATTTTCATTTTTCCTCTACCACCTCTTCGTTTTCATTTTTAAATCAGAGATTTTCATCTTTCTTGTCGCTCCACCTCTTTTCCTCTATCTTTCGACTAAAACATGCTCCGCCCATTTTTTGCCTCCCTTTAAGAACAGCGTTTTGAGTACTATTCTTCATCATTGTGAGCCAGTTACATTCTTCAGAGAACTCCCTTTCACTTCTCCTTCTCCAACCTCTCACCATGTTCTCTAAAACTGCTATGCTTCTCACTTGCACGGCTATTGCCATCTCGAGCTTCAGTGTCCGCCCATTGGCAAAGAACACTGTTCAAGATGCTCATGAGCAGCTTACCAGGAAAATCCGGTGTTGGGAGCCAATTGAGGAGAACATTGCTGGAAACCACTTCTCCGGAGAGCACTGACTGAGCGAGCCAATCTATGAGCTCTGCTCCTACATGCCGAACCCAAAGGATTTCAACAAAGGGTATGTCAACGGCGTCGACATGGATTCTGACGACTACACCAACGTCCTCAGCTTCTTCCACCTCACACATCCCAGACTTGCCATGCTCAACGTCTGCCTTCAAGAGGTAAGTTACAGAAATTTGCTCCAGAAAAAAGATCTCATTTGTTCATTTTCAGGCTTTCCAGTTCCACGCTGCCGGACGTCCATCCCAGATTTCCATTCGTTGCCTGTGCAAAAGAGATGGCTGCAACTTACCAGAGGGATTCACCACGTTCCTCGATTTCAACAAGCCCAATGCCAGAGACGTCTTTCTAAAGGAACCCCCATTCTTCAAAGTTTTTTCCCCATTCAATGATGCTCCCCCAGTTCTTGCTTTCACATGTTTGAATACACCTTTCCCGTTCATTAAACCTTCTCTAAAGTGTTTTTCTTCCGACACCGTGATAACACTCGAATCAAATAAAAATGTGAAAGTTAACTTCAAAAACTGTTTTTTAATGGAAAGTTGATTTACATTTAGATTTTTCCTGAGCTCAGGATCAGATCCTGTGATCGGGTGAAATTTGTTTCAGAACAGCTATTCCTTTCAGAATAGGAAATACATAGCTTAGAAAATTGTGACTACAGAAATTCAGTATTATTTGTCTTTAAAAGCATACTTGTAAAGGGCAGGGCTTTTTCCCGAATTTCAGAGGCCCGGCCCGGCAAGCCTGTCATTTCACAAGTTTTGAAATTTTCAAAAAACACATAAGGCGGGACCCTTATGTGATTTTTTTCGATCAAACATTTTTTCGAGTTTTTTTTTTGATATTTTTTGATCAAATAGACAAACAATCCAAAAACACAAAAATTAATGGAGAAAATTGTATTGAGAGCTCAAAATTTCGCTTAAAATGACGAACTTTTTGCTACCGGGCCCGGGCCTTGAAAATTTCCTCAGGCCCTGCTCGGGCCCGGGATTTTACAAGTATGTTTAAAAGTGTGCGAAATTGAGAAAAATTGTACTAGAATAAGAAGGAGGAGGGGGGGGGGACGTCTGTCAGCAGCCATTTTCTGATTTTATCAAGTCGAGTATCATTCTGGAGTAAAATCCACTAGAATACAAAAAAAAACAAAATTCTTGGCTGAATAGATGTGATCAGATTTTTTGTATTGTGAAAATCTAAACAAACCAGTCAGATCTTCAGAATTTTCAGAAATTAAGGGAACTGTGTATCATAAATTGGTCATTTTCAGAAGTTGTGGTTCAGATTTCGAGTGCGTTTAAATTTTAGAGAGCCTTAGACAGAAATATCTCGGCTGAAACTGTCGAGCGGATTTCAAAATTTTCAGCGGTATCAAGATAGGCTATCTTTGACCTATCCTGAAATTTCTTCAAAATACAAGTTGACAAAGTGTTGTGATTCCCTTGTGAAGTCTACGTGTGCTTTGCAATGTGTCTTTTCCAGAATAAGTGGAAAAGTCAAACTCGAGAAGAGAACCCAAGACATCATCTGACATCCGGTGAAGTGGAATGTAAAGTCTATTTTAAGAATGCGAACTTCTTTTAGAGCTTTGCTATCGATGTTTTCTCCAACATTTGTTGAGAAGTTTGTTAATTTTGTCGACAATGGAACAAACCGTCGGAGTTCCTGTACCGAATACTGACGAAAGCTTATTTCTTTGAGACGTTCCCTTCGGTTGAACAACAAATTAAATATTTGATTAGACAGTCCTAGAATTTCATAATTCAAATAATATTCAAAAATTGCAGCTTTCAACAAAAACTTTTTCCAGCGCCAAAACTTTCAATTTAATTAAAAAGTGTCCTGAAACATTTTTCAAGGAAAAGCAGAACAAGCAAGAATATGAATCATTCGGGGCGTTTATTAACATCATGTAGAAAATAGGAATATAAAAAATAAGGGTTTTGAATAGGGAGATCTTTTCAAAGGGACGATACTGGAGAATGTGGTTGGAGAACTAGAGAAAGAGAGGAACAAAGCGTGGGTGTTCTGAATGATCACATAAAATTTGAAAGGGAAAGAAAAACCAATAAATCAGTTAATCACATTCTTCCTCAATTGATCGAATCTATAAGACGGTGATCCATTCAATCTTCTGTCCAGTTCGACCAAGTAAAACAGAACCGTTCTCTGGATGAGAACTTTTTCTTCTTGCTCTTGACAGCTGAGGAGTGGCTGGAGAATCGTGTCTCGAAGGATTCGATCGTTCTCATCAAATTCTTCGGGGTACTCCATGGTTTGCGCTGTCTGCAGCTCCTGAAAGTTTATCATCTTCATAATAAATCAACTAGCTGGTGCGCCTTTGGCGCGATTTAATATCGCATTGAAAAATAAATATAAATAAGCGTGAACTTTTAAGAAAGAGTGAGGGGCAAAGCGAATCAGTAAAAAGGAGGTTATGGGTACGAACCTCGCCTCAGGTCCCGGCGAGTAATCCATTTTTTTCCTTGACTTCTTCCAAAGATCCCTTCTTTGACAACACCATTCCAGTTTCATTATCCACTCCTTCCACATCAAAATCCTCATCTAATGTTTGAGTCACATTATCTTTCATATCCTTTGCATTCATGTGTTTCTTGATGAAGACAGCAGTGAAGACTCTGCCCCCGACTCTGCCTATATAAACCCTCAGGTAGCAACCATTAGTATTCAGTCTTCTCTTTCCCCCTATAGATTCCCAGACGTCCTTCTGTATGGATGTCGGGTATCTATTCCCATTGATTTTTTTGAAACTTCCTATTCTGTTTTCATTCCTATTCTGAAATATTCTATAAACTCCGATTTCCACGTATTCTTCTACGTCACATGATTGAGATTTTAAGGTGAGTCAGCAAAATACGTTTGGATAATGCGCTACTTAGAAACCCAAAAAATCAGTTCATAACCTAGAAAACCCAAAAATTAGATCGTAAACTAGAAAATCCATAAAAAATTAAGTCATGGCCTAGAAAATACAACAATTTCATAAATTCAAAAAATGAAGTTTCACCTAACTCGTAATCCGTGCCTTCCCGGGCTTTCGCGGGCACTGTCATAGTTTTTTTCAGAGTTAATATTTTTAAACCTACATTTGATATGATAGAACTTGGTGAGTACTACAAAATGATACTATTTGGAAAACTGTATTTTGTCTTGGAACAAAGTTACTGGCCATAAAGTGCCTTTGCCCGGATGTGCCGGGCCGTGCCTGCTTTTTTTTGTTCTATTTCGTCTGTGACTCCGTTCATGGAAGGCCCGGATTACGAGTATGGTGAAACCTCATTTTTCGAATTTATTAAAATTTTAAAAAAATTTAGAAAAGAGCTTAAGAGAGTTTAAACCATTTTTCGAGGAATTCAAAACAAAAACTTTCTATTCTGCGTCTCTGTAGCACCAAGAAAATGCAAAAATCATATAGCTGACCGTGAATAAAACAAACATAGCTGCGTCTCCACTCCCAGCGTTCTATCTTACTTTTTGAGTGATCAAATATCTGCGTCTCTTATCTCTAGCTTCACAGTGTCCCCTCCTCTACCCAGCGGCAATCATTCATTTTTCTACGCAACTATGGCTACTTTCTGATTTTTGTGGCCTCGATTCTATTGATTTTTACTGATTGTTTCTGAAATCATTGCAAAGGTGAGATTATTGTTGAAGAAAAATTAATATATTCAAAAACTGATTTGAAAAAGTTGTAAAACTAAAAATCTGAATTTCTAAAACTTTGAAATTTTG